GCAGCACAGCCTGCCTGTCAGCCACCCCTCCCAGTTTCGTAACATCAGCGAGCTTGCTTTATTACTTGCTCTATTTATTACTTGCTCTATTAGTTTGTATTCACAGCAAGAGCTGTAAGCTGTGAATTGGGAATATTCACTGCTGTGTCATGAGACTGGACAATGAATCAAATACCAGTTCAAGACAGGTACAGTTTTCATGTCAGTATGCCCTCCAGTTTAAGACACTGTTATCTGCTAGGCTGCACTGAATGTAAATTACACATTCCTGTTCCAGTTGCCATGAAAATTATGTAGCTTTGTGATGGGATCCTCTGTGGGGTGGAGCTTTGAGATACGATTTCCCTGGACCTCTACTTACAGTGAGCTCCCTAAAGGACAGAAAGGCTTTTCAATTTAAAAAAAAAAAATGAAGCAACTTAAAAAGGAGAGAGTCAAAGTTAAGGCAAAACAAAGACATCGTACATCCCACATGTTCCTGTGGTGTAGGTGTCAGTAAGGTTCAGGCGCTAGTTTGGATTTTAGGCTTGGTTTCAGCGCTGCCTGGGTTTTGCGCTCTCTAGCCTGTAGGATGTTTCTCTGCCACTCATGTGCTGTGGCAGTACCTCTGCTCCTCTCCATGGAGTCTGTCATTCTTAAACCATCCTTCCTTAGCTTGAAATGTAGATAAATGTTAAATGTTATTTTTTAAAATGTAAAATGTTATTTTTCCTGCTCAGTTTCTTTAGTGTGTTTTGTATGGTAGTCCACACAGGTTTTGAGTTCTTTTATTTGTAGTGAGTTTTCCAGGTTTGTCCAATTTTCATCTTTCCTTGAAAACAAGTTTACTGTGCTAGAACAGAAGTGACTGTTAAAAGTAAGGTTCTATTTTCTCTCCCTTTGAAGTATGGAGTCTAAAATATCACTGACCTTTTTGGTTTATTTACATCAGGCTCTTACTTACTTTCTTTAATGCCTCTTAGAGGTATGTTTGAAACTTGTCTGCCTTTTGATCTTAAACTACAAAAACTACAAAGTTGAAGGTCTCAGCATTTAAAACTCCCTTTCCTGTGGTCTTTGTAGCCATTCCTCACTATTTCCTAATAATTGCTATGAAAAACTCTTTTCCTTGCCTCTCTAGTTTATGGAATGCAAACCAGATAGCTTTTCATGACTTTGGCAGCTAATGAGAATCATTGAACAAGGTTTACCTTTTAAACTATTCCATCTGAGTTGATAGTACAAACCTCCAGTGAAAACAGGACCACAAAATGTTGCAGTCTTTGACAGGTCAGGGAGTGCAACCAGCTTTTCAAAACTATTAATACAGAGATACATTTTGACAGTTTTTCCACTGCACATATTTTCCTTCTGTCTGCCTCCACCTGCTTTCCTTTTCTAAGCAGATTTGTAAGAAGCCTTGACAGAGGCTGCACTTTTATGCTTTACTTGCATTGATGGAAATTCTTGATGAATTATGATTTCCTAATTCACAAGTTAGATAGAATCAGCCTCTTGTCACACAGGGCTCCAGAGCCAGCGTTCTGCCAGCAGCAGGTATCTCCAGGGAAGCTCCCTCCTGTAAAAATACCACTTGGCCCGCAACAGCTGACTCCAGCCATGAGAAGAGCTCTGGTACGTGTCAGTTTACTACTTCTAACACTTGGTCCTCCGTGGGTGGCTGCTACATACACCCACTGCCAGGAGAGAGTACAGGGTCACTTCTGGAGGCAGGGCAAAACGCATGGTAACTCATACATAACTCAAACTACAAATGAATGAGATATAAGGGTGATGTTAAATGCAAACATACTAATACGTCTGTACAATTTATTTAAAATACTTTTTAACATACATATAAAACCCCCTCTATTTGTACAGTCTAAGTTCTAGCAACATATACAAATACTGAGCAACTACAATACATACTGAGGTAAGAACATACATTCCGGGAGAACACTCAAGCCAAACAAGATTGAAATACATTTTATATCCATATGTCTTCACATATAGGAGAGAGCCATTAAATGTACCTCTGCTTGTACTGTGCACAGAATTCTAATCCAAAACATGTCATGCAACTCATACATTTGGGAATCAATGTTTAACAGTTCACAGCATACATTTTCAACCCAACCATTACATATTTGAACTTTTCTTCTTAGCCCTAGCAGATAATATCCTCCGAGGGGAAAGCAGGAGCAAAACTTGGGAACAATTTCTTTCAGCAAAGGGATTTCACTTCTTAAAAAACATCTATTCCAGTCAGCAGCTTATGCTGCTCAGATAATGGAAGTGCATTATGGTTGCTTAAAAAAATTAACCCACTGTAGAGAAACTTATACCATCTTAGCCTGCAGCTTCCAGGCTACAGTAAAAATTAAATCCAAGCATGTTAATTTTACTGACTTGGACATTTTCATTTATTTTTATAGCAGATAAATTTTTCTAAGCCTAAACTGGTACAGTTTGAGAATAGAGAGGTGTCTTAACTTGGCTGGGATAAGTATGTCACATCTTGATGCAAATAACCACTTACTGCTTTCAAATGAAGTCAGCTCATAAAATCTCAGAGCTGTTGCTGACGCATAAGAACACTTATCTGTTTAAGCAAAGCTACAAAGATTGCAGACTAGCTTTATCAAACAGAAAAAGTGGCAATAGCATCAAAACAATTATAGACAGGAATTTCTTTTTTTTATGACTGGGTCTTCTATACCACCCTTACTTATATTCACATTTAGGCTTAGATATCCAATTATTTTTAAAAAAAGAAAAATCATCATTCTCGTTGAATGATGAAAAAATTGTAGAACTGGGCTTTAAGGTAGCACAGAGTATGTCATAACACAGTTGAGATGTTGAACACGCCACAAGGCATTTTGGATTACTGAATTTACGTAACAGTCTCCATGCAAACAAATTTTCAAGTGGTAAGTTAGGCTGCCATACTGGCATAAAGACATGGTGGCAGCCCTCCTGAGCAGCATTTTAGTTTCCATTTGGATGTTCTCCACCTAGTTTAAGGACCCTGGGCAATAAACAAGGCTGACCTGAATTATATCACAGGAAATGAACACTGAAGTCCATAAAACTGGCCTATGTGTAGGTAAGGGTTTTCACATATATAAATTAATTCAGCATCCTCCCAACGGTGCTGTTACAATAAAAATAGAGCTTTTATGGTGGGCTTTTTTCTACTACTCAGGTTAAAAAAGCTGTGCTTTGTCTCTAACAAGATTAAAAAAAAAAAGCAAATACAGCATCCAGCTTGTTTTCATTCTGTGACTACCTACCTAAAACTAGTCTGCATTATCCCAAATAGAAACCTGACTGCAAAGTTTTCATTGTAGAGATCATTGGAACATTCAAAGGATACAAATTCCAGTAAACACTTCTGAAATGGACATTCTTTGGAACAGTCTGGAATCTTTTATAATCCTAATAAGAACAATCTTTATAAAAAGCCCTCAGGCTAAAGGTTTTTTTCAGTTGTGCTAAACGGTACCACATGTGCTAAATGTGTGTATAAACACAGACTGTGCACCATTAGAATATCTGTGTGCTTCCTTAAGCGCTCACAAAAGTATATACATATCTATCTTCGTCTAAGATCACATCTTAACACCTAACAACAGATACTCAGTAAGGAGGAGGGGACACAGGGCAGGAGGACAAGGGGAACCTTTCTGAAGTCAATCACCTCGAACACCTGGATGCTTCTTGCACATTGGCCATCAGGAAAGTCTGAATGCGAAGCAGAAGCTATTCAGAGGAGCCTTCACTTAGCAGGGAACAAGGCAAAAGGAGCTGCCATGTAGTTTGTATGTATGACAGTCTGTGCCTCCTGCATCCCTAGGAAGGAACAAGACTGGGCACCTTAAGGAGATTTCTCAGTGATGTCCAGTGATAGGACAAGAGGCAACAGGTGCAAGCTGGAGCAGAGGAGGTTCCACATAAACATTAGGAAAAACTTTTTCACTGTGAGGGTGACAGCGCACTGGCACAGGCTGCCCAGGGAGGTTGTGGAGTCTCCTTCTCTGGAAACTTTCAAAGCCTGCCTGGACTTGTTCCTGTGTGACCTACTGTGGGTGATCCTGCTCTGGCAGGGAGGTTGGACTAGGTGATCTTTCGAGGTCCCTTCCAGCCCCTAACATTCTGGGATGAGGCAGAAACCAGATTGTACAGACAGCAGATTCTTGTTGTGGAAGGCTAACAAAATGATGGTAACCTTTGAAAAACATGACAATTCCAATTCTGTGAAGAAAAGCTGAAATAAAAGTAATTTAGGATCAAAATTATTTTATGCCATGAAGTTCATCGGATTTTTGCTATCAGTCCTGACAGTAGGTTTTTTTAAGTCCAAAGTTGTGGAGGCATTTTATAGGGTGAAATGAATTTTAGAAACTATAGTGCTTACATATAGATCTTAGAAAGGAACTTAGGAGCTTTGGATTTCTTGGTTTCCCCTCCCCACCCCCCAAAATAGTACCATTATCAAGAAATCGTTGGCTTTTGTACTTTCAACTGTTTCTCCCAATTTATCATTCACATCTATGAATTACTGAAGCTAATCTTGAAGAGTTCTTTTCTCATGTCTGACAGACAATTGTACAGTAGCAATAAAGAAGTCCACAGTTTTGCAGGAGATAAGCTGTAATTACATATGCAGCTTAAGGAAAGGCAGAGTTACTCATTTCCCAGACCTCCAATACCGCATCTTTTGGTTCAACACTGTATTATTTAAGACTAACAATATCAAAACAACACAATTATAAAATAAAACTGTCAGCTTTATGGAACTGGCTTTTAAAAACAAGCCATCATTCTACGTTGCTCATGAGCTGAGTTTCTCCTTACTCCCAGTGGACTGGGCCACGCTCTGTGGTACCTGGTAGACCAATTCGTCAGTGGCACCTGGCCCCGGTTGCCCCTTTGGTGTATCGTACAGCGCCTGTGCTGATGATGTGCTGTCTGTCCTCGATAAGAGTTTATTGTAAGTTCCAACCAGTGGAGGAGCCTGATTCCCTGCAGCTTTGAAGGTGGAAATGGAAGGGATGCCAAGAGGTGTTGTGCTGGGATGGCTAGACATGTCCACGATTATTGGAGTTGCATATTCCGGTCCAGTTATAGGTAGTGGTTCAGCATAAGCATGGTAAACTTCTTGCACGGGTGAGTTGTACGGGTCCAAATCGGCGTAACTTGCTTCGTTTCCTTCCTCGGGTTTAAAGGTCGATCTTTGATGAAGCGTGCTGACAATTCCCCCTACCAGTGGCTGAGCATACTCTGTTGCAAGCCCCAACAAAATAAATAAATAAATATTACACTTAAGTGGGTTTTTTTACACTGGTATCACATTAAATTCAACCTGTCAATAGTGACACAGAAATTATTATTCTAGATCAAACCAGTGGTCTGTCTCTGTCCACCCATGCCAACTGCTCTGGAAAAAAAGTTATTTCCACCCTGCAGTTAAAGCCATCAGGATAGCCACAACATCCCGATTTCTCAGGTTTACACTTCCTCCCTTGTGAGCTGCAATTTCCCATACTGTAAATCTGCCCCAAAACAAACTTCTTTGAAACGTTTCTCCCTGCAAAATTAGAATTAAATTAAATTAATCTGCCTGGCTGTGTATAAAAAAGTGGTCCTTGTGGCAGAGGGTTGTTCATAAAGATACTGGGGTGAAATTATTTGCAGTGCATGAAAACATAACCAAAAAATCCTTCGAGTCTTTACCTGGTTTAAGAACAAGTACAAGTAAAGAAACTTTCAGTTACTGCATTACGTTGGGAAAGTCTCTATCCACAGCACATCAAGGCAGTTAATGCATACTTTCATGATACTCCAAGAACAGATTTTAAGAAGTGCACTTACCAACAGAACTAGTCATTTCTCCTCTGTCCCCAAACCAAACAGGGAATAATGTAGCCAAATTCCTGACATTTTTTGGCACATCAGATTAACATCACCCAAAACAGTGCAATGTACCTGCAGACTCTGTTTGGAGCATTGTTGGGACTTCCCTTGGTCGCAGGTGACTAATTTCACTGCTGCTGTAGCGTACAGGAGTTTCTTCGTGTTCTGCTGATTTGGTCGGGAAAAACTGCTTCATTCCTTTCCACCATCCTTCATGTGCATTTAAAAGAAACAAACAAAAAAAATCCCAACAAAAAACACACTACCCAAGACTGCACATATACTGTGTTTTAAGCTACTAAAGTATTTGTACACCATAGCTTAAATTTCACAGTAGCAGGTAAGCTCAATTATCAGTATTTGCAAGACCCAAAGGTCCAAGACACTAACATTTTTCTGGCAGACTGAAGATTCAGAGGTGACAACATACTCCCTCAATCAACTTGCCTGAATGCTGCCCCCTTCAAACGCATGCAGAACCTATCCCCGGATATCCATCGCATTAATAAGCCCAGAAAATACTAAAATGTAAGCCATGATTCCAATTTGTAAATTAAATATTTCCATAAAATTTTACAGCTTCAGTAAGAATACATTTAATTGCCATGGTTTCTGGCTGTTAATGTCATGTTTCTAAATCATATTGTTGAAGAAGGCTGATCAGCAAATATTTGCAAAAACCTGAATAAAGAGGATATTAAGTTCAGTGGAAATGTCGTGTGTGTGTGTAGTCATGAACTTTTTCTTGAGACAGGTGGGAGGGCTGGTTTCATAAGGTTCTGCCATCCCTCCCCCCAGCAGCCAGTGCTGTTCTAGTTTTGCTCCCCTTTAATGTATTTCATTCCAGTTTTAAGAGACCATCCCATAGGTGTAAAGCCCAAGAAACTGGAGACTCAAACTCAAATAACACCGTTTAACAAGATTCAAGGTAGCCCGTGGGAGGGGACAGACAGAGGTTCCACAGAGGCATAGCAACATTGTTTTGATACTGCATTTTGCCAAAATTTCTTTCTAAAGCAGATCTGCATTCTGAACATTTAAGCAAATAGGGAAAAAAAAATCTAGTACACCCATCACTCATATTTAAACACAGGATATTTTCAATTTAATATTCTAAAACAACAATGCTGTGACCTATCAGAAATGGACATACAAAACATAAAAATAAGGTCATTAAAAGGTTTCTTGTCTAAAGGGTAAGGCATACATAAACCTGCCAGTGAGCAAGCACAGAGATGTGGAAATCTTCAATACAAGGCGAGAGAAGCGAAGCACGGCCATACAGATGGTACAAGCCTGCCTGTGGCAGCTGCCCTGTGTGCTGCAGCACACACATTTTCAGGACACGTGCCAAGTGCTGCTCAGTGGAATTGTCTGTTCTCAAGTTAATGGAGCACAAGACAGTAGGCTGGAAAATGTGCTAAAAGGGGGCTTGGAGCAACCCCCCGTACTTACTAGGGCAACGAAGAAAGAGAGAATTTGACAGACTTAATACACTAGGATGAAAGCTCTTCTCCAGGACAAAAGAAGTACCAAATACTTGATTACCAAACATACAAAGATATTCTTTATAAATTATTTTTCCCCTCATGTTGTATAATTAAGAGGTTCTATATTTTGTTTACTAAAAAAAACCAGCCTGAAGCTCTAAGCTCTAACAGGAGACAAGGCACAGAATCATAGAATCACAGAATGTCAAGGGCTGGAAGGGACCTCAAAAGATCATCTAGTCCAACCCTGCTGCCAGAGCAGGATCCCCTGGGGCAGCCACACAGGAACGTGTCCAGGCAGGTTTTGAAAGTCTCCAGAGAAGGAGACTCCACAACCTCTCTGGGCAGCCTGTGCCAGTGCTCTGTCACCCTCACAGTAAAGAAGTTTCTTGTCATGTTGAGGTGGAACTTCCTATGTTCTAACTTAAAACCATTGTTTCTTGTTCTATTGCTGGGCACCACTGAGAAGAGACTGTCTCCCTCCTCTTGACACCCACCCCTCAGATATTTATATACATTAATAATGTCCCCTCTCAGCCATCTCCTTTCAAGACTAAACAGCCCCAGTTCTCTCAGTCTCTCTGAAAAAAAATCAGAGAATGGAACAGTTAAGTCTGTCCAGAAAAGGAATTCAGCGCCTACCTCAGCATTAGCAGAGCTTCTGCTACAGGAAATTTTATGCAATCTGAAATACGCATCAAATAAAAAATGCCAAGTAAAGGATTTCATAAAACCATTTAGTTACCTGCACGATCCCAATAAGGTAGATCGTAAGTGCCCTCATTTTTTTTCTTGCTGTGAAAAAGAGAAAAATGGGCAATCTTAGGTAGTCTGCTTATCAGAAGATGAATTAAATTAATGCTCAGCAACTATCACCGTGGCTTTAACTCGTCCTCAGATTTAAAGTATAAGCACCAGTAATCCGGCTTGCTGCTACTGGAGAAACCAGTTGTCAGTAAAAGCACTTGTAGTGAAAACAGTTACAAAAAAGGCTGTTTTCACTGTCCTCACTATTAGAGTGAACATTTTCTCACAGAGAATACAATTCTGAAAAAAAAAATCCTTCCGAAAGCGTGAACCCCTTGTAGTTCCCACAGCGACACATGCAGCATGTCATTCCCACACACCAGGCTAACATCCATTTAAAGCACTTCCATTAATCTATTCATTTACCGGTTTCTCCAATGCCAGGCACAAACTAAGATAAGAATCAGAGTAGTGAAGACCATCACCAGCACTGGAACCAGAACTGCTGCCAATGCCACATCTGAAAGCCATTAAATTAAAGCGGTGTCAGACAGAAGAGCTTCTCATAAATTAGTTTTTTCTTTGAAAATTACTTGGGCAAAGCACAGTTTCGATGTACAGCATCTATCACACCCCAGCTAAAATTATCCTGCTGGGCGTTCCCACAGCATAAATGTCAGAGAACATCTAGCTCTTCTACACATATGCACAGGTGGTAAAAGATGAGCTGTGACAAAAATGTTTTGTCCTAAGAAATTATCAAATTAAATAACAAAGCAGTTATATCTGATTAATTCTGAAGGGAAGTCAAAGTTGCAGCTTCTCCTTCTGACAAAATCTGTTCAGTTACTAAAAGCTCAACTCAGTTTGAACAAGTTTTGAAAGATCCAATTTAGTATTTACATGTCTTGGAAGACTGGCTTTTTTTCTGCATGCAGTACAGAGCTCTACATGTTTTATCATCTCTATATTTAATAACTGGTAAATATTAAAAAGAAAATATTCATAATTTGCTGTAATAAACTACACATTGAGAAAATTTAAATGCAGAAGCACACTTAATATATGCCAAACTTTTACTGCTTAACTGTGGATACCTTTGGTTACACTTGGAGTCACTGTGGTATTTTTTATCTCAGGTGTGAAAGTTGTTTTATCTGTCTGCAATGAAGTCTTCACTGAATGAATGAAGTCATCATTCTTGTCATCATTCTTGATCCGAGGTGGTGGTGGCGGCATGGTGATTTTAGGAGCACGGCCTTTAGAAGGAAAAGAATTGATAAAAGAAGTTTTTCGAAGTGCTAGTTTTCCATGTTTCTTTTTCAAGAGAAGCCAGCGGGAACAATTTGGTCTAAAGCTTTTGTTTGTGTTGTGTAAGGAGAAAAAAAATAACCCAAACAACCACAAATGAGTAACACAGAAAGCAAGTGACTGGTGTCTTTTGAAACACTTATTTTGTAAATTACCTTGTTTATGCCTAAAGTAGGTATTTTCCAGTTTAAGTGTAAAAACTCAGGAAGAAATTCAGAAGTCTCAACTGGATAATTCTTCTGTAACTATGAAGTACTTTTTTCTCATTGAAAAAATACCCACAATGTAATCTTTGCCAAATTATTTCACTGCCTGTCTTGCATAGTCAAAAGATTTTCAGTTGCCTTACCTATACTAAACTGACATCCTAGCAATTCTACTTTCATTGCAATTTTCTGGTGCCATTTTAAGGGGTTAATCCTAAAAAAGCGTGCAATAATAGGTGGAATGAAATTATTGCGAACTTCCTGGTACAGTTCAGTGTTCCCTTGAAATATCTAGAAAAGAGAAGAGACAAACATTATGTTACACAAATGCAGCAGTAACTACAATCAGTTTTGGTATTTTATTTTAGGAAAAACATGCAGTACATAATCCTGAAAATGCATCCCCGAATGATATTGTTGCCTGCACGTCTCCACTCACTTGGCTCTATTAATCATGTAACTAAATAAAATAAAGGGAGAGGTCTGTGTAACATACACAGCTACTTACTTCAGAATAATGGTACCATGTCCCATTCTACTGGTGCTGCTGTTTAAGGCATCTCACATGTTTATGGCACTGACTAATTTGAACTCAGTCCTTTTCTGTATTTTGCACTTACTCTTCAAACATACATAGCAAGCAGTTGTGACAATGGGAAAGCGGGGATTGAGCGGTGCCTTCGCACAGCCTAAGCACGGCCTGTCTTGGTATGATTGACTGGAAAGCAGCCAGACACAGCCAAGTGCATAACTGCACTGTCCTCTGGTGGCTGCTGTCCACAAGGGCCGAACAGATTCAGGTTCGGAATGAGGAGAGCTCTCTTGGGTCTCACTCGGAGCCCTGTGGTTCTGGAAGAGAAAGGCATGGGCTCTGCACACAGGACGAGCCAAAGCTGGACCTTCGCTGCTGGTCCTGACGCACAAAGAACTCGTCAAAGTACAACAATATAGACCAGGTTTGCCTGGCTGAAATTTCAAACCAGTAAGCAGACAGGCACTGACAAACTTACAGCCAACTACAGGTCCCAGATTGAGCTGCTTAAAACAATACAGGAACTAGGCCCAGTCCTCCAACCCAGCAAGCTGTCCCGTCATCTCTGGGAGGAGTGGTTTGGTGTCATCTCTTCGGGTGAGAAGTGAACTTTCTCTCCATATCAGTGCACAGCAGCTGGGCTCTGGCTCTGCAGACACAGCTCTTGGGTGCTGTTGCAACACATGTCACCAAGAGGTGACAGTAACGAGCAACGTGTTTGTTTCTAAAGCACTGATACAGCTAGTGCAAGTCATGTTGGACATAACGCAAGAACGGAATTATGGCACTTGCCTGAAAAATATATATTCTAGCGACTTTTCTGCTCACTCACACCACTCAGTAAACCATAGAGCACCTTGCTGCTCTTAAGGACAAGCACTATGTTGTGCAACTGCTGGTGTGTCTGCATAAAATGGAGCAGTCAGGAGCTTTTAGCAGAGTTCTGATCAATGCAGATCACTGGTGCTTCAACCTTGACCCACAAAATAAAGATTTTTGTATTGCACTCCTGTGTTTAAGTTTTAATAACAAAATGACTAGAATATCCCTACAGATTTAAAGGAAAATAATTATTCCAGGAAACTATCAATTCAAAACCAATCCTAGGGACCCTTAAGGGACTCATGCCCGGGCTCCCTGACTGACATACATAATGTGTCTCCACTCTTGACAGGCAGACAAACCTCATTTACTATTATTACAGAAATTAATTTTGGTTTGTGCTTACCTAGGCATTGTCTTCATGTTTGAAAGCACTGACTGTTCAAATAGACATGTAAGTCAATTTAGTTACGTGCAGAAAAATCAATCACTTAATAAAATACAGCACAGTCATTCTTTATTCAAGGCCTTTATTAGTAAAGTTTTCAGTGTTAAATGTTACAGTAGTACCTTAACTTTACCTGCAGCTCAATATTTTGTGTTAATTTAATTTTTGGCAAAAAAAAAAAAAAATTGCTTCGGAGCTTAAAACACTTTTTTGATGAGAAACCAGTTTCATATTTCGTTTATTATCAAACTATCTCCATTTGCTTCTGTGCTGTCGAACAAAATTCTTTTAACACTGCAACTTTGCTTTGTCATTTTTACCCAATTCAAGCATTTTATTCTTTTTTTCATATATAAAACTTTTTTAGAAAGATTTTCTTGATTACTGACAGATCTGTAGAAGCTATTTGCAAAAAGGACTAGAGGAAAGCCTTGGAAAAGCTTCTAGTCTCCTGAAAAATGTCAAGAATTTCAAGTATCTTTCAAAACAACAGGGAAGAGCACCTCCTGGTTGGTCTGGTGTGCAATTATATAAGGCTCAAAGAGAGAAGTCTGCTGCACAAACATCCAAAAGCAAAGCTATATCAAGTGAGATGGTGTCAGGCTGAGGAGAAATCTGCTATTTTGAGAGATCAACCACACTGAACCCTTTTTTCTGCTGATGCTGCCTGGATACGTATGGTTCTCCCTGCATTGTACCTAGTGATACAAAGAGTGCAAAAGATCTGCCGCCTGTAATTTCAGGCTCCACAATTTGTTTCATTTCATGAACTTATAAAAAAAACCCAGTCTGCTCAAACAGAAACAGTTGCAAAGATTTCTGAAGAAAATCAAGCTAAACATGAAGCCTAAATCTAGGGGGCTCGCTAGCTGAGATTTTATTTTACGGCCAGAAGAGAGCACTCAAAACTAGCAAAAGATGCTGGATTGCTTGAGGGTTTGTTTTTCCTAGAAGACTTCTTACCAACAGTCTGGTAGTTCAAGCGTTGGTTCAAGGAGATGGACTCGCCTTGACAGTGAAGTCTGCACCTTTCAGGAAAGCTTCCTACTGTGATTATGTTCAGTGTTCAAAAATGTCGTAACAAATGAGATAGTTCAACCTTTCACTTCATCAACAGGATGTCTTACTTTGAAACATTTTTAACCCACAGAGAACCGAAGAAAACAAAATACAGCTAAAGAGTTACCACCATGAAGACCCATTTTTTAAAAGTTACTAGGTTACTAATTACTACTACATGTATGTAATACCGCAGACCAATGGAGGTAAAGTAAATTACATCCAAGCATTTTAAGAAGAAATTCTAGTTCCAGTCAGGTTACCAAGAAACCTCTTTTTTTTTTTTTTATGAACATCTGATCTGAACCACTGGGAAGACCATATAGGACATTAATCTTCTCTTTTTTTTACCATCTACCAAACACTACAGTACTACGAACACAGGGAAAGTAAGATTATCTTGCCCCTAACATTATGTAATTTCTCTGTGCAGCAAAGCACTTGCAATCTGAACATACCATCTAATTTTTAAGAAAACTCCCCTCTCCAAGGGCTGTTCTATTATGCAAGAAACTTAGCAGTATTTTGTCAAAAACTTATAATGTTTCTGTCATCAGTCTTAAAGATGAAAAACTATACAACCCCCAACATTTATTGTGTAACCCTAAGAAGGTAAGAAAGTAAACCTTAATTTTGAAACATACAACCTATTTTGAAAGAAATATGATTATTCTTAAAGGCACCCAGTACTGGAGAGTCTACATCTGGCAAGAGAAGTTTTTGTATAGAATATTCCCACTCCCAGACAGTAATAAAAAAAATCTCTGAATTTCACAATTGTTCAAATCCTTACATAATGCATATTTTCATATTTTCTTCTGCACAGATGCTGTTTATGATTCAAAATTACATTGAAAAATAAAGTTACTTAACATTTCCTCAGGTACCAAAATTAGTTGTATTTACAATTGTGAAATCTTCACAGAATGCACCTAAAAAGCATGTGATATTTTTACCTTATCTTTATCCATGCCAGGTTCCCTGTACACTGTCCATTTCTGTGCATCATCACTGTATAAAATTCTGTAGGCTGAGACATAATAGTAGTAGTCTGCTAAGGTTGATCCAGTAGTTACAATACCTGTGAAAATTAAGGTTCCCAATTAGTCAGAAAACTGGTACCAGTTTGTAAAAATGATGATTCCAGAGTTACAGTTGAAATCTCCACTGGTCCAGTTAGTTGCATTTCGAAAAGTTTATCCAAGTGCCAGGGTCTGAAACTTCTACAGTGACTGAAACGTAAAAGTAGGTAAAATTATTATTAAATTTTAATTCTCATGACATAACCTTGTTCAGCACTTTTCCGCTGTTTCTTGAAGAAAAATGCTTGTTCATTTGACCATAGCCCACGTCTGTCTCCAGTTGCTGAGACAGCATCGCTCTTTCCCGCTTTCGAACCACCAACCCAGAAGCATCACTGACAGAACTGTGGCTTCCTACCGCTGACACTGCAACGCTGCAGGACTCACACAGGAATGCTGTTTTGTAAAAGCTTTTTAGAGCACAGGAATTAGAGGAGTATTGTAAAATCCAGATAGTCCCCAGGGAGGTAAACCCAAGTTGCTTATTGACAGGAAGCCAAGCTGCTGATAGCAGGTGTGCAGCTAAGTTTACAGCGACCAACTCATGCATCTCCAAAAAGAAACAAACCCATACTGATCAAAGGAGCACGTTTCACAATGGTCTTAAAGCCTGGGACGTTATGAAGCACTCTACCTAAAGCCACTTTATTTTTGATTTAAGTCAGGCTGCAAAACATGTCCATTAACAACAGCAAATCACCTCTGATTTAATTAATCAAAACAGAGAACACTAACACCAGCACAAGACTTAGGCTACCTTCGGGAGTTAACGTCAAAACACAGACACCTCAGCCACACTGTGATCGTCAGTAACAGGTTACGAAGAGCTCACTCCCCTCCCAAAGCCTGACGCAAACTATCCAGAGTGGACTGGGAAACATCACCTTCAGCTGTCTCTCCAAATAAACACAGCTACTAAAATCACGATGAATGAGTCCATCACCACCCCTGAAGTCAGCCTGCACCGTCTGGTCCACTGCTGAGGGAAAGCGTCACAGACAGCCAAGTGCCCATCATTCCAAACTCTCATCCCAAGATTCACCTCAGGCAAGAAGGCAAAGAGGAGGTTGCCAGCTGGTTTACTCTGTCTGCTGCTTCTCTCACACTGCACTACACTGCTCCTAACTGCACAGTAGAAACATGAGTCAGTACACCTGCACCAGAGGAACCAGTGGACTCAGCTGACTGGATATGGATTTGCACCGCCAAGGAGACAATGAGCAGGAAAAGAGAAGCATCAAGGATCCAATAAAACCACAGGAAACACTTCAACAAAGAGGTGTCTTCTGCTATGGAAGTCCACCTGTTCAACTCCAGGCTCCTCAGTGTATTAGCTAGGACATGGAACCAACTTTGCTGTAACGGTAATTAAGCAATGAAAAAAGGTATGTCAGTAATGAGATTTTTTGAATGTTGCTTAAGCGCCACATCAGATTCACTTACCTGTTATTCTTTTTTCTTTATTCAAGTCAATCTGCAACCACTGACGTTCATCACTGATAAAAGCAGCCCAAGGAGGACCAACCCTTTTCAGTCTGGCATTTTCAGGTTTCCAAATGTTCACTTGTCCTGTTTGGTTGGACCACTCAAGAATAGATGATGCCGTGATCTGGGAATCAGGGATTACCCCAGACTCCATCCCCAGTGTTCCATAGCAACCTGAGCAACAGAAAAGGTGAGGATTCAAGGTCAAAATTCAAGTTACACAATGACTCTACCTCTACTTTACATGCAAATATTAAACTGCCACCTGAATTTATTCCCTAACAACGCTATCAGGAAACAGTCTTCTGCTTTCTAACAGTGATGCTGGAACCAAACTTGTGGTCATGAGTATTCCAAGACTTACATGTACTACTCAAGGGTAATGGGGATATTCTCTCAATCACCAGCCACACAAAGCATTAGATGAAAAGCTTTGGGACAGCTGACACGATTTAAGAGTATATATGGTTGATGCAAGAATGGGAAACATTACTTGATCATTTGTTCCTTTTTTTGTGACTACATAATGTCTTGGTTTTTGAACTTACCACAGTATCACAGTATTAATTTGAACAATGCACCAAAGCATGTAGGAAGGAAGCCATGCCATGATCCCGGCCTTGAGCTCGAACATAGCAGCCTTGAAATTAGTAGTATTTTTTGGTCACCATTCTTACTAAAAGTTTCTTCCCACATCACATTCTGCTAACAGCTAAAGAACCTCTGCTAAACTCCTGGCTAACTGACATCCATTTGCTCTTTGCTAATATCTTGTTCTGCAGTGCCACCCGTTTTCCCCTCTCACAAGCGTACTCCCCAGCACTCTCAGTAGAGAGCAATCTTTGCCTTCAGTCAGCCAGCCTGAACAACCCCACCTGGCTCCCCTCCTGCTATGACCTCCCCCTCTCCCTGCAGCTCTCCTCTGCACCAACGCTGGGTGCTCACCCCTCAAGGGAGGAGCAGGTGGCAGAGCCCATGATGGGATCCAACAGGAGGCCTCGTCACATTAGCACTTCACTAACGCAGACCTTTCCCTCCTCTGTCATTTCCATCTAATACACTGCCAGTTTGAAGCAGAAATGCCTCGGTCTCCACATACTAACCTTACACTTTTTGCCTTGTGTTTCTTTGATTAATTTCCATCGTTCAAGTCTCAAAGTCAGGCAGGTCTTCCTGTACAAAGAGTTCCATCTTCCTCTGCACTGACCATACCTCTAAGCATTAATAACACACTCCTCTATCTTGTACCAAGTCACAAAAAAAATTGTTAGAGAAGACCAAACTAGTAACTGCACCACAGCCTGATAAACCCCATTTGAGCATACTACAGAGCCCTCTTTTTCCTTTCAGCCAATTCCTAGGCCACCCAGTTACATATATTTTCATCTACATCTGCATCTCATCTCTAGCTTATTCAGTAACTTCTGAAACATGTCACTGAAATCCAGATAGTCTAGATCAGTATTTCATCCTATCTTGTCATATTTCTGAGACATTTACTTTTTTGCACACTATCATATCACATTTTGAAAGACAAAAAACCCCAAAAAACCCTGCCTCAATCACTGTGTTTAATATTCTCCATGCATACGGTTACCAGACACACGATTCCTTCTGCTAGCAGAGGTCTGGCAGAGAAAATATTTTAATATTCTGTGGGTTATATTTTCTAACTTTTGCTTGTTTGTATACATTTCCATCTTCAAACACTCCTGTCCATCAGATTCCCACCTTTGTATCCCCATTCAACATCACTTTCATTTATATATTAGGAAAAGTATTTGTTCATTTTTTAGGAATATGTGTATGATTTCCTTCTTTATTTTTACTCTATCCTTAGAGAAAACAGATGTAATGCCTTTGTTAGGGGGTTTTTATATTATTACTATAAAAACAATTAAAGCGACTAAGGAAACGCCAGTCTTCGTAATACTTCCAACATCCATTCAACAATGGCATTTAAAGCGACTAACAGAAAAGTTCGCTTCCATGTAAAACACTACAGCTAATTTATTTTAAAAACGGCTAATGGTCAGAAAGTAAAAACACGAAAAGCAGTAAAGTTTTAAAAAGGGGCAACCCTTATGATACCAATCAGCAACCTGGTGCACATTTACAAAATGTGACAGCCAATGACACAACTTACACCCAGAGCAAGGCCCAAGAGATGCCCTTCCAGAGCAAGACAAGTAATACCAGAATATCCTTGGCACTATCTCTAGGCATATCAAGGATAAGAAGGTTATTAGGAGCAGTCAGCATGGCTTTGCCAAGGGGAAGTCACGTCTAACCAACCTGACAGCCTTTTATGAAGACATAACCAGGTGGATGGATGGTGGCCATGCAGTACATGTGGTCTCTCTGGATATCAGCAAGGCATTTGACACTGTCTCCCACAGCATCCTCATAGGTAAACTGAGGAAGCGTGGTCTAGATGACCAAGTAGTGAGGTGGGTCGCTAATTGGCGGGAGGGAAGACGCCAGAGAGTTGTAGTCAATGGGGCAGAGTCTAGTTGGGGGCCTGTGTCTAGTGGGGTCCCTCAGGGGTCAGTGCTGGGGCCGGTGCTGTTCAATATATTCATCAATGATCTGGCAAAGAATTAGAGAGCACTGTTAGCAAGTTTGCTGA